TGTGGAAAAATACGTTGAGGGATGCGAGGTTTGTGCCCGTAAGAAGATCCAGCGACACCCACGGGCTGTAACTCAACCATTAGATGTACCATCCGGTCTATGGGAAGAGGTAGGGGTTGACCTGATAACACAGCTACCTAACTCCCAAGGCTACGATGCTGTCTTGGTTTGCACAGACCTGTTTGGAAAACAAATTCACGCTATTCCTTGCACCAGCTCCATCACAGCCGAAGGCGTTGCCGATATTTACTACCGAGAGATCTTCCGTCTCCATGGTCTTCCTCTTCACTTTAAATCCGACCGCGGACCCCAGTTTGCAGCTAAACTCATGCGATCCCTTCTCGCTAGGCTAGGAATTAAATCAGATCTAACCTCCGGATACCGTCCTCAGTCTAATGGCCAAACCGAACGAGCAAATCAGGAAGTAGAGAAATACATCCGCCTCTATGTAGGACGACGACAAGACGACTGGGCAGAGCACCTTCCCATGGCGGAGTTTGTGATTAACTCACGGACTCATTCTGCGCTAGGCATGTCCCCGTTCGAGCTAACCTACGGCTATCTTCCCCTGTTCAATATCCCAGTAGGCCAACGCAGCGGTATTCCAGCCGTGGATGACCGTATACAGATTCTCCGAGAAGCGCGACAAGATGCCGGAGCTGCCTTACACCTAGGAAAGAAACAACAGAAGGAGGGATACGAACGCAGGAAGCGGAAAGCTCATCAATTCAAAGTTGGAGACCTAGTCTGGCTCAGTGCAGAGGACATTAACCTTCAGCTTTCCAGTGAAAAGTTAGGAGATCGACAGCTTGGCCCTTATCGTATTCTTGAGAAAATTGGCCCTTTAGACTACCGTCTTGACCTTCCCCTATCCCTAGATCGCCTCCATCCCGTCTTCCATGTTGATAAACTATACCCCTGGAAAGGTAACTCCATTAATGGCGAAATACCAACACCACCAGAGCCGGTATACTTAGAGGATGAAGATGAACCGGAATACGAAGTAGAGGAGATCTTAGACAGCCGGGTTCGATGGAAGAAGTTGGAATACTTGGTTAAGTGGAAAGGTTACGACGCAGGGCACAACTCTTGGGAACCCGCAGCCAACCTCAGTCGAGCACCAAAAATTGTTCGGGCCTTTCATAAAAAACACCCAACAGTGGCAAAGCCTTGACCATCGAGGGCAATGGTCATAAGGAGGGGGGTAATGTCATAAAGTACGCAGCCCCTATCATTTTCCTTTTCTCACCGTCTCGACGCCTTTACTTGTACGATACATCATCCCATCACTGTCAAACCCCCATCGATTACTGATCCATCGATTACTGATCCACCTGACCCATCTTCTCCTTCTACTGGCTTCCGCCACCTTCCTTGTTCCTAAACTGTACAGTATTACATCGTTGTTTCTCGCAGACCGGATTATGTATATATAGCCAACCCTCCACAGCCTGGTCCCTTATCTTGACCTCTCTGTCATTATCTGGGACCAGGTATGTGCTTACTTATTATTACCTATGACTACGATACTCAATATATCTCTGTCATTATCTGGGACCAGCTTGCCGCTGTTCTGCTTAGTCGCTCCGCCTTGTTGCCTTGTCCAGTTGCTCCGCCTCACCATTCTGCTTAGTCGCTCCGCTTTCCCGCTCCGTTAGTCACTCCGCCTCTGCCGCTTCGTGACAGACAATCTTTGCCTGGACAGTCCTTCTATAGCGATGCTGCCTTGAAGGAACACCTTGCATACGTGCGGAAAGTAGAACGAGCTTTAGGACAGTATGATAACCCACCCCCACCTACACTGGATGTTTCTCCTCCGCTCACTGTCAAGCCCTCGTCAGAGAGTCTTGGGATTTCCATCGCACCTCAGATAGCTACCTCGGTCTCTTATCCTCTTCCTTTGAGCTCAGCTATCGAAGCCGATGGCAGCGACGTCGCTTCTCGACCATCCTCACATTCCTCAGGACTAGAACAAAGCTATCTTCCTCAGACAATGCCCCGACCTCTCAGTTTGGAGTATGAGTGGATGCGCCTCGAGACTATCGCCCGTCAGCTTGAAAGCCTGGAAGCGGACACACTTCGACACTGGAATCCAGCCGAAATCGACTTTAGAGAGGGACTCGATGAATCTGACTTCGTTGACTATCTCAGTTTGTCTTCTCTTGTGTCGGGGCATGGCACGAACTCGCTTTTTCTGGGTCACTTAGAATGGCTGAGGGATAGTAGGAGAACTCTAGAGAAAAATCATGACGCAGCAAGACTCTCGAGTCGTTTCAACTGCAAACATACAGTAGTCTCTCGTCGTCTTGCAGAGGCGGAAGCAGCTACACGTACCAAGTTAGTGGCAGAATGGCTTCTGCGGCGGAATACGCTCATACAGGAACGCGTTCACTCGACAAGTGAGTCTACAAACCCATACGCTCTTAAATCTTTCTTTATCTCATCTTTCCTTTCAGCCCCGGTACCTGAGGATGTCCATCACACAGACAAGATATTCGTTCTTTTACTTTTAATCGCAGCTACCTTACACCTCGTGTGCAATATGTCCACAATTCCACTTGTATTCTTCCTTCGATCCATGCGTCTTGTCTGCAAAATGTTAGGATTTGAAGAGGATCGAATTAACACACGCCTTCCTGAGGATATGCGTACCGTTCTCAGCCGATTGGACCTCCATCCCACTTACACGGCATATGTGTGCTGCCCAAAATGTTTTCAAGTATATGATTTTGATAACTGTCCCAAAACGTGTAATAACACCTCGAGTCTTACAAGTCATCCCTGTAATCGATGTCTTCTCCATGATCCTCTTCCGGCACAGAAAAAGAGCCACAAAACAATCAAGGTTCCTGTAAGATCGTATTTTCATCAGGACTTGAAACATTGGTTAGCGTGGATGCACAACCGGAAAGATTTAGAGCACTATCTGGAACGACCCTACACTCCGTCGCCGCCTTCAGAAGACAATGAGGTTTCCGACATCTGGGAATCGAACTTTCTTCGGAACTTTCATGGTCCCGATCGTGATACGCTGTTCTTGTGCCCAGACAATCCCAACGAAAATAGGCTTATCTTTACCTTGAACGAGGATGGCTTTAATCCTTATGGAAATCAGATATCGGGAAAGAAAGTTAGCGTTGGTGGAATCTACATGGTCTGTCTCAACCTCCCACCATCCTTACGATACAAGGCAGAGAATATATTTCTGGCCGGCATAATACCTGGACCCAAGGAACCCTCTGGTCATCAGATAAATTACCTTCTACGCCCTCTAGTAGATGGATTGGAACAGCTTTGGAATGAAGGCATCTACATTCCACGAACACGTCTTCATTCTCGTGGCAGATCTCTGAGAGCTGCTCTAATTGCTATAGTATGTGACATGCCAGCTGCTCGACTGATCAGCGGGTTTGCCCACTATGCAAAGGATAACGATCCGTGCTCGATGTGTACAACGTCTGATCGCAATGATCTCGACCCAAATTCACTGGTTCCTCGTACAGACGCAGAATACAGGAAATTAGCTGCGGCTTGGCTTTCTGCTGATAGTGAAGAGGAGCGCCATGCACTTTACCAAGAGAATGGTGTGAGATGGTCTGAGCTGTTGCGGCTGGAGTATTTGGATTTAGTTCAGAATACTGTGATTGATTCTATGCATGGGTTTTACCTCCGTATTCTTCAACGTCACTGCCGAGATATTTGGGGAATGGATGTTGATTTGGTCGACTGTGATGGTCTATGGGAAGTAGAGCTCCCAAATGAAGAAGAGCAGACGACTGCGATGCGCGTTTTCCGGCATGGGTCTAAGTCAGAATTTCGAAATCTCAAAGCAAAATCTCTTCGTTATTTGGCCATTCAAGAAGGCCTAGATTACAGGCGCAACAGGCATTCTCTGTTTTCAGCTCTCTCGCAACTGGTAATTAATATCTACATTGATCTACATTGTGGTGTTGATCCTCCCTTGTAGCGGAATCAGAGGCAGTGGCCCACGCGTCCAGATTCATCCGGGTCGTCAAATCAGATACCTCCTACACTGGCACCTGTGGTACACAAACCTTCCTTACAGGACTACTCTCGTTTGCCTTCGAATGCTGCAACAATCAGCATATCTCAACAGTCTTCTCAGAATAATCCGCCTGCACAGGTTTCTGACCTTTCTCTTGAGTCTTTGGGAAAAGCTCGTCTAGCATATCTTCAGCAAAAACCAAAGTCGTATCTCTCGAAGAACTTCTCCACCGATATCCTCTTACTCCTGGCAGAGGAACTCAAAGTAGGGCCGATACTGACCCCAAAGGGTAAAATTTCTCGAGATAGAAAGCAGATCATCAATGCTCTGCTTCAAAGGGTACGGCGTGTCTCCATTTTCACAAAACTTACCCTCATTGAGCCCATTGCCAGAGAGATTTAGATACTGGTTTAGAACAGCAAACTTCGGCCAATCATGACTTGGATGCCCCATCTACTGTGATGACAGAGGTGTGGTCGAGAACTTATTCGAACAGAACTTCATCTCTAATCATGATCATCATCAGGCAGAACAAAACGAAGATTTAGCAGAAGACAATATGCCAGTGTCTCAAAACAAGGCACAGATTTTGTACAAGACAGCGACCAAAGCAAAAATTAATAAGCTACGTCGCCCTGATCTAGTAGCTGTCTGGAGGATCGCTTCACACTTCATAGCTGCTGCAAACAGGGCTCGAAAACTTGCCGCGACGGCGAAGAAGACTGCAGAAAATGACTGGTATGAGGATCAGGAACATGATGACTCAAATGCCTCCCTAGGTGGCTCAAATGGTTTCGAGAGCGCTGAAGAGGACAACGAGATCGAAATGCCTTCCCGAATCCAAGATTTGAAGGATGAGATCCATCGCTATGTGTGTGATCCTTCCATTTTTCCAAAAATGTGCTCATGATTGTTATAGCGCGCGGCACTCAGTGACGCAACAGAAGATGGACAACCAACAGAACCAAAGGAAAGAATCCCACTCTCACGCAGAAAAGCTGCTGTTCTGGGCAAGGACACATTGGCGGCCATTCGGGAGGATATGTCAAAGCTTGAAATCCCGTCATGGATGGACGCTGCTCCTAACCGTCCTGGAGAAAAATCACGCGGGAGCTTCACGGCTGACCAGTGGCGGACATTCTGTACCATCAACCTCCCAATAACCTTAGTCCGTTTGTGGGGTTCTTTACCACAGGATGAACGCAAATATACTGTCCTCGTTAACTTCATGCATCTCGTCACTGCTGTTCGTCTGGCTAATATGCGCGTTATGTCTGAGGCACGCATAATATCCTATGAGTATCACATGCGGACTTATTTGGAAGCGCTCGTTGGTTACCAAAGAGAAGAGCCATTATATCCACATACCAAACTTACGACTTATCAGCATATGTCTCTTCATTTCGGAAACCTACTAAGGAGATTTGGCCCGCCTCACAGCTGGCGCTGTTTTGCCTTTGAGCGTTTCAATTACATTCTACGGAAGTTTCCCACCAACAGTAAATTCGGTATGTTCAAGCTTTCTCCTCATTATTTCTTTCCTTACTTTAGTCTATAGGTGAATTAGAGAAGACTATGTTCACTCATTTCTGTATGATGCAGAAACTCAGATCTCGCTTACATGATCCGCATTCTTCACCAGAGTTCGAGGAACTATCTAATATCTATCGGAATACATTCGAAGAGACGAATGCTCGAGGTAGCTGCGGCATCGATGCTCTATCATTTGATGACTATTCCGTCTTTGCGACTTCTGTTCCACAACGACTGAGCCGCAATGTCTGCTCTCAGTTACAAACGTGGATCAACGCCTCTCATTTTCCAGGCTCCGCGCCCGTCTTGGTGCACAATCATGCGGGTGTAATTCAGCGTGGTGTCACGTTTTCTCCTAAAGATCACTCTAAAGCAAATGCTCGGGTTGTTTTCCAAACGACCGGGACAGAAGAATGGTCTGCAGGGTCTATAAAATCCATTTTCACTGCGAAATGGACATCTTCGGGCCAAGGTGTCGTGAAGACCTTCGCCGAAATCAATTCTTATATCCCTTTAACTGACTCCGACGCAGTTCATGACCACTTCCGAGCCTTTGGATTTGCCGCCGGGCGTTTGTTTTATGACAGACTAGGTGAAGATACCTTTCTGATCCCACTGGATCGTGTGGCCTCTCATTTTGGCTACACACCTTGGACTGCTTCATGTATCAATTGCGAGGTCATGCACGCACTTCCTTTCAGCAAGGCGAGTAATTTCTCTACCACTGAATGTACACCTACAATGTACTAATGTGATTATATATGTAGGTTGTTGAATTCAACGTCTGATTACGATAGGGACTTGGGTATATATCACATATCGACATGTAAAGCACATTAGTATTATCAATTGGCACTACAGGCCGTACAACATTATAACGTCTATGTAAACCGATCTTCCAGTGACGAGCTAGAAGGGAAAGGTCTTCAATGATAAGCCTGATAGGATTGGAAATATATAAGCCATAAAATATTTCACTCCAGGTCCTTTCGCCGTCCTCCAACTGTCTTGGGGCTATGGAGTGAAGAGTCTTCCAGGTTGAGCCGAAATACTGACGAATGGGATCAAGAGTTGGTTAGACCGAAAGCAAGTACACGCAGAAATCATCACACACGCAGAAATCATCTCTTCTTGATATCTCTCTGGCTCCCAATGACCTTGTCAAGGCTCTGATTTCTGTATCGACGTTTCTGTTCCCTTGTCCTATTCAAGAACATACCAACTTCTACAACGACAGCTGCCACCACGTCCAAGGATGCGCTATCCCCTGCTCTCAGTCAAAGCGCGTTTCGTCCGCGCAAGCACATCGCAAGATCGATAGAAGTTCTGTGGTCACCTCAGTGGGGTCTGGAGGTGAGAGGTCCGGAATAGGAACATTTAATTCAAGGCTGGTTATTTTTGAAAAGATGCGGCTTTCTTTGGGGTCGGTGTTTTGATCTAACGGTGGTGGGGGCATCCGGGAAGGAGAATCAGAGAATTAGATAATCTGGGCGTTTTCTGGGCCATACATAGTGTCCGACTGAACGAGTACACGACCTGGCCGCTGATAATGAGCACCTCGTCATAATGTCCTTAAATATCCAGGTAGCGGTCCGAGCCTCCGGCTGAGATCGAAGCTAGTCAATGTCGTCCGTAGCCTTCTACTAGGATGTACTCTCCGCCGCGCTTATCATTATCCGCTATATGCAGATAACCTTGAGGAGCAACAAAATCTCCGAACACAATTCTGTGTCCAATGAAGAGGCAGATGCTGTTAAGGATTAAGGATGTCGAAGAGGTCTAATGTTCCTCGGTGCGTCACCCTAGGATACTTCAGTTCACTTTATGTGCTCAAATCTCCTTCTCTGTTTATCAATATAACTTTCTGATGAATTATTCACGACCTCATTCGACGATGCGAGTCAGATGTATCAAAAAGACTACTATTCGGATTCAATCGAACTGTGATAATAACACCTACAAAGCCGAATATGTTGTTGATTTTCGTATCATAACTGTTGTAGCATTCGAGAACTCTTCTTGGAGGACCCCTGGAATGGTTCGACGTCATCTCTCAATGCAATTATCCACCTTCTTACTGAAAGGTCCAAACGCCTGATTCCTGTTCGTACGCAATGCAAACAGTCACGCTCAATCTCCACAAGACGTACGAAGACCCTTAAAATTGGCCTTTTACTCAAGTAGATCTTCGTCTCCTTACCTTTGTTTTGGCCATGGCGGCGACTACGATGGTAGGATGTGATGATCCTGATCATAGTGTTTTCTAGTCGTTATTTGTGAGTTTTGTCTTTTTTGTGATCGATGTGGGCTGATCAATATTCGTGCAAGGTGTAGTTTTCTTCCTGGCAGAAGAAGAGTAAAGTGAAGAAAGCACTGAGTGGCAAGTGACGTGTTGAGGCATCTTCGTCCTTTGTCTCCCCACGTTCCTTGCCGGATATATTCCTTTATACAAGACTCGTACATATAAAATGGAAACATTTGTGCTGCAAAGATTCGTACCCTTCACCCACATCTGCTTCATTAGTCGCCACTTTCTCAGCACCCAATCACGCACCGATTATGTCTTTCTGGTGAGTGACCACTTCATAATCAGTGTATTAATATCTGAACGTCGATTCAACAGGGCGAAGAATATTGCTTCAGGTTCTAGTATCGAACTAGTTCCTAGTCAAGATCTCCGAATCACGAATGTTGCGATTGGTGATGACTATAAAGACGCGCTAGGCCGTACCAGTCTTGTGATTTCTTCCGCTAGAAACACCGCCAACTCAAATGTCCAAGCGTTCACAATTGCCAACTTGCTTGTTGCCCGTGTAGGTCTTCGATAATCCTTCTCCATTTACTCGTTCAACGCTGAATCTCCTTCAGACCGAGCAGGTCCTCATCAATGTGAAGCTTGACCAAGGATATAAATACATTCTGAGTTGTCGCGGCTCTAAGTGAGTGCATTTCTTTTGCTCAGCAAGTTTGGAAGGCTCAGATGTATATTGTTGAACAGCAACCTTACTCTTCTTGGTTACTATGGTGAGCTCCTAATTTTTGCATCTTGAAATCCACTGAGCCATACCTCTCTTATGCAGAACGTAATCCTCCCAATGTCCCCAGCGGAACCAACTTTAACTCTAACATCTCTCATGGAAATTCGGCCTCTCGTGCTGTCGTTACGCCACCTTCTGTGATATCAACCACTATCCCCACAAACGGAGCCACTTCTACCTCTACCGCTCCTTTGGGTACTTTCCGACATGTTGCGAATCAATCTTCAGCGACGCTTTCCCCCAATGCATTATCCGGGCACAGATCCATTCCCAATACCACACCTGCAACAGTTCAAAGTACATTGGCAGCACATCGCCCTATCGCCGGTAGAATACCCCAAACGTTCAACAAAATTCCTACCGCAGTTGGACCATCTGGTACAACTAACCCTCCTTCCTTGAATTCCGGTCTCAATCCTGTGTCTGGAAGCAGATCTAATGCTCCTTATTCATTCAATATTGTGACCAATGGAATTGCGAATGGAACATCCTCCTTCCAGACTACGAATCCGAGTGGTTCCCCGTACAGCTTCCCATCATCATATGGTAATGCTTGGCCTGCCACTTCCGACCAAGCTTTCCCCCACCAATTGACTGCTCCACATTTCACGACATCATTGCCTGGTCATGGCCAGAAGCGCAGAACGACCGATTCGTTGGAAAATCCAGACAGACCTCAAAATTCTAGCTCTCCCCCAATGAAGCGAACGAAAACTTTGGTCGACACGGACAGTTTATACACCATCGCTCCTAGTCATGGTCCCTCGCCTCATGCACACCACTATCCTTCTACATCTGGCCAACATCATACACCCTCCCTTGGTGCCACCTCCGCCACTCCCGTCTCTCTTGCAGGTGCATCCGAACAACATAAAAATCCTTCTACATCCGGCCAATCATCTGCTCCCTTCTCCTCGAATCATGTGCATACACCGTTCTCTGGGATCACTCCTGCCCCTCATGAGGGTGCATCTGAACAACATAAATGTCCTTCCTCATCCCGCCAATTGTCCATCTCATTGCCTTCGAGTCATGTTCCCACTTTGGTGGGTCAGGATCGCTCCTTGCCTAGCCAAATAACTACTGCCACGCATTCTCATTCATCTACTCCGGTTAACAAAATTTCACCCTCGCAAGCTTGCGCACCCAGCACATCTAGCGCAATTTGAATAGTATGCTACGTTCATTGCGTCTTCCTGGACCTTTATTCGCTCTTGGGGATTCCACATTGTCGCTCACTTTTTGGTATTCCATCACTAGAAGCTTTTTTTCAGATCGACCGCCACAACTGGGCAAATATTCATGATTGGTAGTACCCTTTTGTACAATTCAGACAGGTTAGAAACATATATCCACTTGTAAACTTCTCATAGACGTCGTATGGATAATATCATATCTGTTCACTGTTCTTTCTATGGATCCGCAGTCGAACGTGATCTGTTTCGCAGCTATAGCGCTTATGTAACCACGACTTGTTTAACTAGTTCTGCTACTACTAGCGCAGGGTTTGTTTTTCTTCGTACCATGACACCAGGAACCAGGTTAAGTTCTGTATCATACCCGTTGAGACTAGACTAAACATACCCTAGATTTTTCAAAGTGGGACCCTCAGAATCGGAAACTATCACATTCAAAGAATGTTTCTTCTTATTCGCTGCTTCTATCGAGCCAGAACCCGGTGCTTCCTTTAAATCCACTGCTACTTTTAAGATCCATGCTGTCCAACATAACGAGCAAGGTTTCCAGGTGTTGGTTCCACTTACCGTGTGTCATTTTCGACCAGAAGAGGTGTGCCTAGTTTATGCAACATTGCGCGTAAAGCTGAGCCTTTGAAGGCGGAAACGATTGGTCTGAATTTAAAGGTTGGAGAGGGCCAAAAACTCACATTCAAGGTCATTGGTTCTCAGTTAGTCTGTCAATATTCTCCAACATATTGCAATATTGACAGTCTCAATCCAGTACTGTCTCAGTTGTAGGATGGATTGAATCCAGTTGACTGACCCACTAGTCACCAACCCACTGTATAGCTCAATGTATAGGTTTAACTCTGAGTCTGCGTTTTACAACTAATCGTGCCCGTACGCGTGTTACCTCTTTGCATCCTACTTCGCCTGCTCAACCGCAAACTTCGAACGGCAATGGGCCATACATGCAGTGGCACAAATTGCCAAGCCGCTGGATTAGCGCAAATCAAATTTGCGTAATGATTCTTTTATTTGCCAGAAATATCTAAAACTTATCTATATAACTGTAGCGTATGTTTACTACCTTTCCATGGTCTAGTTTATGTATCGTTTGGATATACTTGAAATTCTAATTGCTTAATTTGTGCAACATATTGAATCCTTATTGTCTACTTGTTTTGGTAAATTCAGTGTAATTGGTCACGTAAAGTTACCATAATTGTAAGATTTTTACAGCAAATAACGCAACCATATTTGTGACAAAACGTCACAATAGGCAAATACTATCTTGTATGGTAGGATACGGCCCTTACTTGACCATTTTAATTTACAAATCGATCTATCTATTAAAGTAAATTTTGACCAACAATAGTGTATCTGGCAAAAATTACGCTCCAATATTTTGGCGTTTATATAAGGTAAGCTCACAGTAAAGAGCTGAACTTACGGTAGCATGCGCCCTGTGCCTTGCATTTTCTCTACATTTTCACCGCGAAGACATTGGCTCATCCCCACAGTGTGTACAGTGACGGCCATTTCCCACGAACACCTCCCAATTTAGTAATAAATTTCCATCTGCATTGGAAGCCTTGGCTCCTTGCAAATATGGAGGCACTGTGAGTATAAAGTATGCTATTGTACAGTTATAGCTATCACATTTCATACCAAAACACATTCTATAGGAAAAAAGACCAAAAAATGCAGATAGATGAGTTCAAAATATAATAGATGGTCCTGGCTTCCACTCCATACATGATTTGCTGATGTTCTCCATTTTGTCATAGTAACATTGAATTGATAGATGGAAGCCCAATTGGCTATTTACAAAGAGTTATAATGATAATTAAGTACGGTACAATGAGAGCCAAGGCCTTCGGACGCAGATGGGAATTTATTACTAAATTGGGGGGTGTTCGTGAGAAATGACCGTCACTGTATATGCAAGCGTTGCAAAAACAGAAAGACCTAGGAGTTTCAACACTCAATTCGTAAACGACCCTCCTCCGCCTCTGTATTCATACCGCTCCTAATCCTCCCACTAACTCTGCGAAACCTCCGTTGCATCTGACTCATGATCAAAAGTTGACGTCGAGTGCAAGCGTGGATCTCTCTCACAAAAGTACCGTCACGAGTCGCAACCGTAGCACATGGAATCAGTACAGCTACAATTCATAGAATATATATTGATACAAGCAAACCTCTGAAGGTGTGTTATGTGGTCCTTTCCAACCGTTTCTTTACAACTTGTTACTGTTTTGTTCTGGCTGTTGGAACAACTCCGTACGTACGTACTGAACCTAACCATCCATGACTACACAAGCACCGTACACGTATACGCCGTACAGTACCTACCATATCACGCTCCGCAGAGATACACGAGCTCCCTCAGTTGTTCTGATATCAACTGAGGTGAGCTCGCAAAGTATATTCGGTTGTACCTATACTAACTACATTGTAGCTAAGCTATACGCTAACAGGTACATACACAATCTCAGTTGTTCTGATATCAACTGAGCTAAGCTATACGCTAACAGATTATGAGACTCGATCTCTGATTAAGTTAAGAAAATAACGCACGTACCGAAAATGTCAACTGGAAGTTTGGTAAACATACCGAGACTCCCGGACGAGAAACTGCTCGTCGGCGAGGAAAACTGGAGACCGTTCAAACGCGAAATATCGTTTGCGGTACAGTCGAGGGGACTCACAGGTTACATGGACGGGACCATCCCGAAGCCGACCCCAAGAACGGAGGACTACCCTGGGCCAATCTACCCGACGACGGCAACCCCACCGTACAGTCCCACGCCCTACCCAGAGGAATGGGAGCTACGCGATAGGCTAGTGGCAGGTGCTATAGTCTCTAATATAGTGGATCCAATAGGGCTGGGAATAGACGAAACGAAACGAGCCTGCGAAATCTGGCAAAACCTGATCAAAAGGTTCGAGAAGCGAGATGAACAAAGAATTCACCTGGCCGAAACAAGCCTCCGACACGAAGTCTTCGACCCCTCGACGGATACTATGGAATCTCACGAGAAGAAAATGCGAAACCTGCTAAAGAGGGTCCACGATCTAGGGGGTACCACGACGGACGCCCAATTCAGACGTATCGTAATCTTCTCCATGCCTCCAGACTGGAGACAAGACGTTCGCACAGTTCCCGGCAACTCGAGCGCCGACGCCTTCACGTACTTGCAAACGCTCTGGTACCAGAGAGAAGAGGAACGCAAGGAGGAGGAGCGTGACACCAAAAGAGTAAAAGCGCTGATGGCGGCGCACTCCCAGCTTCCAACTTTCAGCCAACCCCGAGATCAGAGCAAAGCAGGAACCAGGCCCGCAGTTATCTGCCACAATTGCAGCAAACCCGGGCACATCGCCAAGAAATGCTGGGCGAAGGGAGGAGGAATGGAGGGCCAAGGTCCGAGGAGCTACAACAAGCCAAGGACCAATGCTAGCGCGGCGAATGCAGTACAGACAGATGAGAACGAAACGAGTACACCTATGGCAACATACGTGATGTCAGTCAAGTCAGGCGCAGGAACGAGTACGTCCCCAACCTACCAGAGACCGAACCCTCACGCTGATATGGTAAACAGACAGAATTATCCCATTCTAATGGATAAGAATCAGCGTGAGGGTAACGGAGAGCGGGAAAGGGACGTACATAGCTTCGTAGTAGTCCCAACAAAGGACTGTACCATCTGCCACGGTCATACCTCTCTGTACTCACCACCTACACCCGTAATAAAAACGTTCCTCGACTCCGGAGCATCGGAGCACTGCTGGGTCAGACGAGACGATTTCATTGAGTATACCGAGGTCCAAGGCCAAGGCGGGAGTAGCGCAATCTCAGGTGAAGCGGGAAGGTTCCAAATAACTGGTACCGGAGTGGTACAATTCGTAACGCGTATAGGTGATAGCGAAAGAACGATACGGCTACGTGGGGTAAAACATACCCCATCGTTCGGTCACAACCTGATTTCTCTAACCACGTTGGATGGCATAGGAATGCAGGGAGATTGGGGCGGGGGAATTATGACCGTTAGATCCGCCGACGGACAGAAAATACTCGAGGGGTACGGGAAGGAAAAAATGTACGAGGTGGAGGTGCTAGAGTCAGGGAGGACACTGGTCAGCTACTCAAGGTATCGAGACAGACCAGCAGATATACTTACGTGGCACCGAAGGCTGGGCCATGTATCAATTCGGCGCATACTCCGAATGGCCAACCGGAACCTCGTCGACGGACTCAAAATAACCAAACGCGAAATTCGTGGCATGTGTGAGGACTGTATATACGGCAAAGCGACCAAACACCCATTCGACGAGGTGTTGACGCACGAGACGGAGATACTAGAGAGGGTGCATATTGACTTGTTTGGACCATCGAGGACACGAACGAGAGGAGGGGCCAGCTACCTGATGCTGTGTACCGATGGCAAATCATCCTTCAGAGTACCACACTTCTTAGATAACAAGAGGAAGGAGACTGGGGTCAAGGCACTACACGAGTACCGAGTCATGGCGGAGACTCAAACAGGCAAGAAGTTGCGGCGTATCCGGATAGACGGTGGCGGAGAGCTTAACAACGGTTTGGTGGACCAATACTGCGCAGAGCACGGTATCATTATCGAGAAGGTACCGCATGACTCCTCAGCAGCAAACGGCGTAGCCGAGAGAGCATTCAGGACAGTCATGGAAGGGACCCGTACGCTGCTGGAAGACGCAGACCTCCCATACTCGTTCTGGGGAGAGGCAGCATCCACCTTCGTATACACAAACAACTTCGTCCCATCTACTCGTTCCCCTGACACCGTACCAATCGAAGCCTGGACAAAGCAGCGGCAAGACATTTCGCACCTGAGACCGTTTGGATGCGATTGTTGGGCAACGCTCCCGTGAAGACGAACGGATGGCAAGCTAGGTAGGCAAGCCATTAAAGGGAGGTTGCTGGGATACATGGGTAGACGTGGGTACCGGCTGTGGGTACCAGAGGACAAACGAATAGAGGAATCCCATGATGTGACGTTCGAAGAAGGGGAGCCCCACAGGACACGAAAAAGAGAGGTAGAAGAGGACGACACAGAAGACGCATTACCCGATGGGAACGTTGGTCCTGGGAACCCGGGAATCAATAACGACGCGGGTAGCAACCCCGAGGACCCTGAACCTGGTGGAGATAACCCAGGATTTGAACCTGACCCAGACAGAACGGTGCCCACATCCGGAATCCCGACCACACCGGTACACCCAGTTCCAATTCCAACAGTTCCAACGCGGCGTAGTGAGCGAGGACATGTCCCTTCACGGAGGTTCATAGAAAGTGAGGAATATGAGGGAAGGGAAGAAGCCGCTAGGAGAAATGGAGAACAGTGGTCCACAGATCAACTCACCAACGAACCATCTCCACTAGCACTTATCAGCCTGAACCCCTACGCGTTCGCAGCTACATCCGGAGAATTATGGGTACCGCAAACATACAAACAAGCAATGAGAAGACCTGATCTCTGGTTCACACCAATGGAAAGGGAGTTCAACACCTTGCTGGACAAAGACTGCTGGGAGTTGGTACCGTTGCCGGCGGATGCAAACCTAACTGGCGGGAGATGGACATACGCAATCAAATTCGACGCCCAAGGGAATATCCTCAAACGCAAGGCCCGATACGTCGCCCAGGGATATACGCAGATCCAGGGTCAGGATTACGATAAAACCTATGGGGGGGTCGCTAGGATGGAATCTGTTCGCCTGGTATTAGCCATCATAGCAGTTCTCCGGCTGACAATCTTCCAAGTCGACTTTACCGCAGCTTTCCTCAACAGTCCAATCACACACGACGTTTACATGAAACAACCGGACGGCTTCATCCAGCCGGGCTCAGAACACTTAGTCTGCAAGCTCAAAAAATCCATTTACGGGACAATGCAAGGCAGTCACGACTGGCAGGAGACGCTCGCGGCGGGATACAACAAGGATGGTTACACTACGTCTCGAGCCGACCCCTGCATTCGATACCGGCGAACTGGAGGAGAGTACACCATCACCAGCACATATGGCGACGACGTGTGCGGAGGCTCGACCACAAAGACGGGGAGAGACAATGCGGTGGCAGATCTGGGGAAGCGATGGGAGGCGAATGAAGTCACTACGGAAGTCCTACTAGGTATGACTATCACCCAAGACCCACGAACAAAAGCAATCACTATATCGCAGCGGACATACTTCCTCCGGATGCTATCCAACTTCGGACTGCACCACGTACGACGCAGGAATACGCCACTCCCTCCCAACGTTAAACTCTCCGAATCGCCATCCCCACTCACCACTGAAGAGGCTGAGTTCATGAAAGACAGGCCCTACCGCTCCGTCGTCGGATGTATCATGTGGGGACAAGTATGTACGCGACCGGACCTCGCGTTTACGGCAAGCTTACTAGCAAGATACCAACTGAACCCCGGACGACAACATTGGGAATGTATCGAGTGGGCCGCCGGCTACATCCTACAGACCCTGCATTACTCAATCACATACCGTGCACCGACAATACCAACTCCACCACCCGGGGCGGGTCTGAAGCCCTACGCGTACGTCGACTCGGACCATGCTGGATGCCGAGATACATACAGGTCCACCTCAGGATACGTCTTCTTCATGGCGGGCGCCCCGGTCTCCTGGTGTTCCAAACGACAGGCAACTGTGGCTCTCTCTACCACAGAGTCGGAGTACATCGGGCTGTCTCGTGCCACACAGCAGGCGGTATGGCTCTCGTCCTTCCTAGCGGAAGTCGACCTGCCGCAGGAGGGAGCCATAGAAATGTTGGGAGATAACTTCGGCTCTGTCTGCCTTACAGAGAACTCGAAGAGACATGCTTTAGTCAAGCACATCGAGATGCGGCACCACTATATCAGGGAGAAGGTCGCCAGCGGGGAGGTGCGGGTCCAGCGAATCCGATCAGGGGAGAACGTCGCAGACTTGTTCACTAAAGCGCTCCATGGTACGGTCCACTCAAAATTGGTGTCAATGCTTGGACTCGATCGTACGGAGTAGGGGGGGTGTTGGAACAACTCCGTACGTACGTACTGAACCTAACCATCCATGACTACACAAGCACCGTACACGTATACGCCGTACAGTACCTACCATATCACGCTCCGCAGAGATACACGAGCTCCCTCAGTTGTTCTGATATCAACTGAGGTGAGCTCGCAAAGTATATTCGGTTGTACCTATACTAACTACATTGTAGCTAAGCTATACGCTAACAGGTACATACACAATCTCAGTTGTTCTGATATCAACTGAGCTAAGCTATACGCTAACACTGGCAACATATCACTTCAGCCGTACAATTTCCCGAGACCTAATTCCTGGTATATCTTATCGACACCCTGTTGAATCGCACGTCAGTTTTGATCGAGTGGTTCAAGGAACCAACTCACAGTCGCAGCAAAAATACCCTTCAACAACGAATCCAAACCGAGGCCACTGAGGAGACTTCCGAGGAGGTTGAGAACACCAGCAAGTAGCATTCCGACGCCGGCTACGATTTGAGTGAGTGGTTCTGCGGTAAGGCTTAGATTATCGAAACATAGGAAACATGACCGTGAAACTTGCGTCCAAGCGCGCATCGAGTAGCGGACCAAGATCCTTCTTTGCCTTTAGGAAGGCATTAAGCTTGTTTCGAGCCCATGCAATAGTCCCTCCTACTTCTTCGATCATCTGTTGAAGATATATATGAGTGCCCCTCGTCGATGAAATAAAATTCACTCACCACCTTCGAAGCCTCTGCGAGTCTCTGCTCCTCCGGGTTCGCCCTATGAGCCTTCTGATCGTTTTGTGCTCGTTGAAAAATCTTATTCTCTAGATCAGCACCTTTGATCATGCCCTGTATTTTGTTCATGATCTGTTTGGCCTTGCTGCAAGAGCGGTTTGACTTGTTGAACGAGCTTGCCCTCGTTCCGGTCTTCCATCCCTATAAGTTCATTACACGAACTAGCACCTTGCCACTTAGTGCTGGGAAAAAATAGCTAACGTCTAAAATACAAATAAATGTCTACTCAAATTCCTTCTTCGCGCATGCGGGAGAGCGAATTTGCACCCTCCACGTACTAGTAGCACTCGTATTGGTACCTCCAAATCGTAGGCGAAAGCTGAATTTTGGACCATAATTCGGAAGCGGATTCAGTATGTAGTCAGAGGTCATGAAGAGATGGATAAAGATGGTACTTGAATGGTTGATATCGCATCGGGCGAAGGAATAAATGTATGCACCATTGTACTGGCTGTAATACTACGAGGGACATTGTAAGAACAATTTCCCTGCCTGGAAGTTTCAGATTTGGTCAAGATGCAAATGAGTGCATGGTGTACAATACACATTCACTACATAACGGAACAGCGATACTTGATCACAACTTGGTATATTTACAAGGGTTCATGCAACAGCTCATGCGCAAGACCCGAGGTCATCAATCTAAAGTCGACGCCGATTTTGAGAAGAGAGGTGCGATCTTCGTCACTCAAACCACTTGCAATGCTACTACCATCGTCCGAGTCATAACAGGTAGACTCAAAATTGTCCAGCTCAAGTTGGACCGACTGTAAAGGCCGCACACCCGAACCAGCTTTCGCCCGGGCCGATATAACAGAAGACAAGACGCTCATATCGACACGGCGACATGTCAAGTCTACAAGCTGCGGGCATGGCGCCAAACTAGTTGACAATGAAGATGCAAAGGAAGGCCTACGATCCCGAAGTTTACTTGATATTCCGGCTTTTGGTTCAGGAGAGAACTGTTGCGGCCCTAGGGCAGTCAATAACGCTGAATCTGCATCAGACAGGTTGATTTTTTCCAGGCTGCTGAAGCGGCGCAAAAACTGAGTAAAAACTGCCTCGCTAGAACGAATGCTGCGTAAACCAAGGTAGTCAACTTGTTGCAAAGGAAAGAAGCAGGTTTCAGCATCGAGTTCAGTCGAAGAGACTTCTAACAGGGTGAGGAGGGTACTGGCATCTGATGAGCCAATAGGATCCACAATTGCCGCGACGTCCTCGAGGTCGAGTTCGTAAAGAGACGGCAGATGGAACAAGGAGAGCAGCATGACTGCATACTCTACATCCACGAATCCAAAAATCAAGCGCGTGAGTTTTGCCATGGATATGACACGTCTTGTGTCGGTGAAGGTTGCATCCAGCCTTGGACCCCATCCCACTATCGATAGCCGTTCCAACTCTGGACACGAGATGAGAATGTTCGTGAACTCCCCCAATGTAGGCAAGACGTCGTACGCGTGAAATTTGAGCTCCAGCTCGAGAAGATTCACCATTACGGACTGTCTCCAATCTACATGTACTCCCACCAATGCCAAGTCCCGTAGCGCTGGTAGACGCCCACCAGTAAACAGTGGAATAGGCTCTTTCAACTCCACAGGCTTGAAACATTCTCCTTTTCTGGCAAAATACGCGTTACATCTAGACAATGCCACGCTCTTCAACACGGGTAGATCGTCGATGTCCCGTGTCAGGTCCAGAAACGCGTGGATTGGCGCCCAGGTATCAGTGAAGAATTCGATGTGTCGCCATCGCTTGGAATGCGGAAGGATGACGGAGATGATTTCTTTCGCCGCGTCGTGAGTAAAGAGGTGGTCTTCTTCCTCCCAATCCCATTCTTCGTCTCGGAAATCGAGAAGTATGTCAAGGGGGTATGATCTCGATCGAGACAGCCAGGTGCGTAGATAGGTAAGCTGATTCAATGAATAAGGGAGGCACAATCTGATAGATGTCCAGAGCGAGCCTGTTGAGATGGACACCTTGCGCCAGCGCGAGCATGTATGTGAGATAGTCAAAGGAAAATATGCTGCTTCAGATGGGTCGTCAAAATCGCAGACCTGAATCGCGTTCACGAAAATGTAGGAAAGTATTTCGTTCGGAAGACGATGAATCCCAAGTCGTGCTGAAGACAAATCAATCGCGTGAACCGACCGAAGATTATGAGGGTTCCGTGAATGCATGGAAAAGCTGTGGTTGTCCTTTAAGAAGGGGGGTTCAAATTGAGGGTTGAGTGTCAGAGTGACGCTACTATTACTGTGCGAGAGGGATCCTATCCTGGAAAGAGAACTGATGTCGAAGCACGTTAATTCCATGCTATTCAGTTTAAGAAGACCTCACATCAGTGTAGGAAAGCAACAAAAGAGAGTAAAAAACTGAGGGCCTCCGCGATAAATAGGGAATGAACATGGTTCTCTCTTATATGCAGCTGTGATCGACATGTTTAACCTCGAGGCGAACCTTTGGCGCGCGCTTTGGCCCGATTAACACATCGCCGCCCTGTCCGCGTTATTCAGAAAAGTACAAGGACTTTACTCAAATAGGAAGGTTCAAACCAGAATTTGCGTCAAATTCTGCCTCATGTCGCCCGATTGCACCAATTAGGGCACGATCGATACATTTCCTGGGGCCTCATGTTAGATCGAATTGTGTGTCTTTGTGGGTCCCACCTACAAGATACTGTACTTTTGCACTCATTTATCAGGATTGTTGTAGGCGACGTAGTCTGATGGAAGACAAGCTCATGCCTTGATTTAATCACAACTCGAGAATATGCTTGGAACAAAGCATATAGGTCTTGTACAATCTTCATACAACCATCGTGATGGGGCCAGCTTGTGATAGGAAAGACAATGTAATGTAGTACCAATGTAGTGTTCATCTCGAGCGTTTGTGAATTGGCACAATTTGGCAGAATAGACAGTTTCAAGCCGCTGGAATCGGCTCAGTAACGGGAACGACAACGTCACGATGAGGACAGAAATTCAATCATCCATAGATCTCATTGATAACAGGATGCAAAATAGAATGAAATGACATGGAGACACACCTTGCCACCTTCAATTTATCATTGATTTGAGGCACTGTAGGTAGGGATAGGAAAGCGATAGCTACATGGGAAGGCAGGTGATTACTTACTGCCGAAAACAGTGCGTGGAATCATGTTCAATAACAAAAAAACTGTAGTAGGCAAAGTTCAGAAAATGTAGACTCACCATAGTATTGTGGTTGAAGAAGCGGAGTTTCTGACACATCCCCGGTTCCACAAACTTCCATGTTCCAATAGAGATCCGGGGAATATCAACGAACAAGGTGATGATTCCACTGCGAGGCATACGGCTGCGCTAGAGACGACAGCCCGCATGGGCATTTGGCATGTCTTGGATTTGGAAAGGAAAAGAAAGATAACTGACACGGTCCCATTGAGGAACCACCTGGGGCACACATTGTGCTTTATGTGTCCCACGAATGATCAAATCCAAGACTGCTGTGATCGGTGTATCAACACCATCACAAAATCAGATATGACCATGCTTATAAGATTACGAGCTTTGGGAAGTTCTCGAGCGCATGTTGACTTGATAACAGCCGCACGATAACCTGTGTGAAACAAACAGGTGCATCGCGGCTGATAGATTGTAAAGACAGAGAGAAGTGTTGCTAATTTGAGGTCGGGGCCAGGAAGCCATTCTGAATATTTGACCATGGGTCACTGGTAAAAATTGAGACTATTCATATAGCTCCGTTTGATCTATAGTATCATATCTTCACAACGAATAACACCACTCGAAGATTGAGCTTTCCTGAGGAGAGCGTTATGGCGCTCTGGTCGAGGTCGTTGACTCGTTCCCGGTTTGAGTTGGCATAACGGTATAATGGATGAAAAGAACAAAAAACTGTAATGTTAGACGCTGAAATAAGCGCCTTGCTATGTCTCTCTCCCTTTCACTGCCAACTTTTGACCATAGTTGGAGCAACTGGACCTTTTGAATTGAAAACTTGAAAACTGCCAAGAGCTCAAGGCTATCAATTATCTGAAGACAAACTGACGTAGGCTCAAGTTCTGGAGTAGATAGGAGCATTACTATTCTCCGTTTCATGGGAATCATTAACACGAAAGCCAGGTGTGTCAGCTTATGGCCGTGGATAGGTAAGCCTGTATGAAATTTCTTGTTAGTAACTCGAAGTATAACCCCGAGTCAGATCTGGCCTCAACCTGAGGGTATAAAATGAGGTCAAAAGTCCTATAGCAAACCCTTTATTCTTAAGAAAACCCCCAAACCTAACTCATGTCTCTAGCCCCACCTCCGTAAGTCTGTTGCGCGATTACTCGTGGCGCTGTCGATCCGTCTTTCCCCAAATCCGAATATGTTGGCATATGAATTTAAATTTTCCCGCTTTTTGATAGAACACCTTCCGGAAGGCTTATGATTATTGCAACCTTATCAGTGAAACCTGGAAAGGTATGTGTTTCTTCATTTCTCATCTCAAACATTCCAGTTCAGTTCTCGCATTCTAAACTCTGTACTCAACATCTGGTGATACTTACTATGGATATTACAGGAAGAGCTGATTCAAGATCTTCTAAAAGATGCACAAAAACGTGCAAACAGCGATGAAGAGCCAGACACTGTAAGTTGAAAGCTTCACTCTTTATGGTCTGTGGGAGGTATTAGCAAGTTGAGCCTGGATTGAACATTACCTGGATTCTGATTCCGATTGCAGTTCACTTACCATTTCACATGTCGCCTTGACAAGAAAGGAGCACATCTACCTGTCTTTGTGTCATGCCTTGACCATTAGCCATAGCTCCCTCCTTTGTCTTCATGCCCTGGTGACTACCAAGACAGCCCCAGTATCAGCCATACACTCTCACACTCCGCACTGATCCACTTCCGTACCTCCCCAAGACAGTACCATCTTCCTTTCGACACGAGCAACCCCCAAAAACCCCCCCCCGACACGCGTAAGAAGCCCCCCTACACCTACCCCATTAAGGTACTAACCTCGATTACATGCCTCATGGCCCCTGATGTCCCCTTGTTCACTTCCTGTACCTATTTAAGTAGCTCTGACATGTCCCCAAGCCCCAGCTTGGTATATTTTGAACACACACCCTTTGTATAGGTCCAGTCCCTGTCCCTTTGTACCTGCTAACCATACGGATTTCTCTTTACTCTCTGTTTCTCCATCTCTGTTTCTCTTTACTCTTGTCTACTGTCTCTCCGATCGTCTATACGATCAAATATACACTTTTACTTTGAGTCTAAGCCATCCGAGTGAGTCTCCAAGCTCCCCAATGCCTAAACGCTTGGGTGAGCTACCCATCCCCAAACCTCCCCGAGCTCCCTAGCTACTTCATAAGCTTCGGGACCTCGATCTAAGTAACGTCGAACTACGTATAGCTTCTCCGTCACCAGCTCCAATCACTCGAGGACATCCATCCTCAAGCCCAGTCCCCAGGGACCTACCCTCCCGGGCATATACCTTCTCGGGAGCTTACACCCTCAAGACCCATTTACATCTACGACCTACTCGATCCTATATTGACGTTCTAGTGAGTACAACTCCTACTACGCAGTATCATACGGTCCCGCACTCTTACCTAATCTCCCTACGCCTTAGGGACCTCCTTGGACCTCCTAGGAACCCCCTCAAGGGTCACCATTTCGTCGTCCCAGCCACTACTAGGTCATTCCCGTCCTTGGTTGTGGTTCCTGTTGTTGAACGCGGCTATGCTGTTCACATGCCACTAATATGATCATGTGTTATGATATGTCATATGTAGTCATATGTAGTCATTTACTATATGCGGATTCCTCTGTACTTCCTTATGTAATACTGTCATACAGTTATGTATATAAAGAGGCCATATCCTGTACTGGAATCCAACTCGCTTCTCTCTTACTTTTATTGCCTCACTGAGACACTAAGCTCTACTACCAGGTATGGTACTGGAGAGTGTTCCCACTATGCACCCCTTGCCTGCTCAACAGGTTATGGGCCCCGGATGAATGCTTTGCTGAGCTCTAAGCTCGCAGCGCTCTCTGGTCTACTGTTGTCATTGACGCATCTATTTGATTGCTGTCTCTGACACAGACCTTTACCTGGAACGTCGCCTCTGGTGCTGAAGTCAATATCGCACTTAACAGTGCTGATTATGACATCGCCTGTCATGAAGTCTCATGATGCGCCCTTTGATGCGCCATCAGCGCGGTGTGTTCCCATCAATCTGTTTTCACATGTTTATTGTACTTCATCACACGATCATCCCATTAGTTCCATTTGTTTCCGTACACTTCCATACAACTCATCCTTATTCATCGATTAGTTCATTATGGTTCATTATCGACTCATTATTACTCGTATATATTGATTCCTCACTCTTGTTCTATATTGCATCGTTATTTACAATTGCTTACTCAGTAGACAAGAGTAGTATATAAAGGACAGTAGACAGGCCCTAGTTCCCCATCTCGACCTCTTGGTCATTGGGCAACTAGGCAAGTACTTGTATCCTTTTAGATACTACCTATCTAACTTGGTCATTGGGCAACTAGATTCCCTTTTGATTGCTGGTGTGATTGGCCTTTGACGCTATCCCACTGTTGTTCGAGATCATTATTTCTTTCATCTGTGCTTTGTGCTTGTTTCTGTGCCTCTTCGCTCTGCCACTGTTGCTCCTAGGCATATCTGGACCTCTCGCCTCCTGCTTCCTGCCTCGTCGCGACATTAGGTCGAGATCTTCTACTCGTACCATCAGCTTGGTGAGCTGATCCTACAAGGCACCCACCACGTCTACCTTCGGAGTCAACGTTGATTGCTCCAACCACTTTCACGCGCTTGATACTGTAACTAACACCACTTGCTACTGGGACGCTGAAGAAGAAGAGTGGGAACCCTGCTCCAGACAACCGTGCCCTAATCGATACGAGAACACATTTGACGCAAGTCCGACCGACCGTTACCAACCCATCCACAGACCAGCACCACCTGCCAGGGTAGGACGAATCAGTACTCCTACTACTTCCACTCCTGCACCTCCGCTAACATCTGCGGAACCATTAGCTCCTGCTGTCACTGAGACCACAGCCGACCCCGATATCGAAATACAATCAATCCCTGAAGAAGACATGTCCTCAGCACAGGACGTTCAAGACGCTATTACAGAGCTTACGAAAAACCAGGCTAAGCTCCAAGACGTGGTCTCTGAGCTAGTAAGTGGCCTCAGCACTACCAAAAGTGTTGGCAAGCCACAGAACTACAATGGAAAGCAAGGAGAAGATGCCCGGCGCTTCCTAGCTGCCTTTGAGCTGTGGGCCAACTCCATCCCTGCTCTCTCCACGGATCGTAAAAAGAAAATCACATCCGCCATTACATACCTTGAGGGGGATGCAGCTATCTGGGCCACTCCTATCTCCGAAACAATTAATAGATCAAGTATAACTGGCTCAGGAGTACCTTTCCCATACGATACATGGGAAGAATTTGTTACAGCTTTCAAAACACGTTTTGAGACCACAGATGCCTTGGCCA